CAGTTGCAGTTTCCTCTACCACAGCTTCCAGTCTCCCAGCTCACTCAACCCAGGATGCAAATCGCCAGGATGCAAACAGGGCTGCATGCTGTTGGAGCAGTGGTGTGAGTGGGAAGATGAAAACTTTGTGTGCCTGCTGTAGGAGGAATCTTTCTCACTTCTATTTCTAAAGCAAGATCTCTTCCTCTTTGTTAGCAATGGTATTATACGCTTTTCAAATCACTGCTTTACGTTGCAATGGCAAAGAGGACTGCTACCGCTGCCCATCTGTATTTGCAGTCCGTATCTCCCTCGGTCCCCGTTTCTTCTAGATTCCTGCTCAGTCTTCCCTGACCTTTTGCTCTGCCTGGGTTTCTCCAAGCCCTCATTTCTTTTAGATTCCCAGCCAGTGTATGGTATTCACATATATTCAGGGAAAAGTCGGATATCTCTGTTACCAGGACTGCCTGAATCGGATGCTCTTGACATCACCAATGCTGTTTTATATGCCTCTTGAGATCAACATACTCAAGAGTTTTCCAATAGGAAAAAGGAAACCATTCCAAAAGGGCCAAGAGGCAAACATGAGAAATATTAACATTCTTAGATTCAGCATGTAAGTTACTCAATGTGAACTGTAACTGACACACTATATATATATATGTCTCTATCTCCCTAAGCAATAAAAGGTGTGGGATGCTAAAGAGGGGAGAAGCATACATCCATGCAGCAGATGTGGCAGTCTTGCTCTGGGTTAGCACTGGCATATGCAGACAAGATGCTGGCCAGATGAGGTATTCCCAGCCTACCTGACCCTGGATAAAAGTAGCTGTTGCCATCACCTCTATCCATTAAGAAAAGCAAAGATGAGCAGAAACTGAGAGCCACTAGTTCCTGTGAGCACAGCTTTCTCCAGGCTTTTTCTCACAATGAGAGCACAACTTCATATGTTACTAGCATGCAGAAGCACAGCCATGATGATTCTGCCCAAGGATTTAGCTGAGGAAAACCCACCAAACTCACTGGGAGGCTATTCACCCATTTTAAGGGGTTTGGGCTCAGGCCTCACTGTCCCCAGGAATTAATCCCTAGGAAGTACCAGGCTTTCCTGAAACCCTCCCACCATTTCATGACAAGGGCTATAACACCCTAATAGCCAAGCTCACTGAACAGGTTAGTGCAGACTCCCCGAATTGGGTGGGGTTGTTTTGGTTGCTGTTGTTGCTTTACAGGCAGTATAGAACAAGTGCAATCTCTCTCTGCGCATATGTCAAATCCCTCGGGAACTGGAGAGCCGCTCTGACTCCTAAGGGCAATGGGGGATAGGGACCTGAACCTTCCTCTGCTGTTCTTTGGAAAAATAAATAAAATCTCTCCTTTATTTTAAGGGTAAAATGAAAACCAAAGATCTCTGTACTGTGGGCATCTTGAACACATGTGACTACCCTGAGGCAAGCACTGACAAACAGGTAACATACACAAGAATTTACAGAATTGAGTTCCAAGTGAAGCAATTACAATAATTAAAAACACCAATCACATCTAAACTAGTAAGTACTGCAGGAGGGGGGAATAAGAAAAACCTTTTCTTCAGGGGAAAAAAAAAAAATCCATCAGTTTTAATAATCCTAGCATGTTACTTTAAAGTATAGTGAGTTAAAGAACAAAAGTACACTGATATGTAACATATATGAACCAGGTCCCTAAAAAAGTTCATTCTTCCATCAGCAGTAGAGTGGAGGAGTAGTTTCTTGCCTAAGCTAGTAAATTTTCATAGAAATTCTACTAGATGATAGTAAACAATGACCCTTGGATCCTTTTTCCAGGAAGATTTCAGCAGTTTCTTTATCCAAGATCCTGTTGTCTTTTTTTGTGCACTAGTACAAAGCCTACGCAAGCCTACAGAAAGCTATTATGACAGCAAGAAACAAAAGGATAGTGAGAAATTTCTTTGTAATTTTTTCCCCCTAAAAGGCTTTAAGAAAGAGTACTTAATTGTCAGTCATCATAATCTACTGTTCTCTTAAAGTCTTTACATCATTTAGGCTAAATTCTGCCACTCTGGGACATGGGGGCTGAAATCTAATCTGTAATGTTAGTTACCACTGCCTACTCAGTGTCTCACTAACTCCTAGAAGGAACAAGGTTCCTCCACAGGGACTTGCAAGGAGTACAGAAAACTATAATTATCAAAAAGTTACTTACTACATGTGTTTCAAAATAATTGTGTATGAGCCATGTGCCCAAAAGGCAAAAGTACCCAGTGATACCTTGCCTGGCAACCTCAGCCAACGCAGTGCAAGTGAGCAAGCACACGAGCAGGTGATGGGTGTTGGCTTCTTTTGGGACACGCTAAGCCTAACAGTGACCGGAAAAGTGGCACCTGGGAACCCATCAGACCATTAGCTGGAAGTGCCTTCTACCAGCAGGCCCTGAGCTAACGCTAAGCATTACTAAGCTGGGTATCAGTTATGACTTATCCATGTACAGTATTAGTCATTCTCCAGCGGCTCACCTCTCTGCTGTGATTTCCCCCCCCTTCCTTCTTCCTTTCTGGGTCACACGCTAGCACCCATACTACTCTGTGTGATACAATAAATCCTCATGAGGTCCATAAGATTATTCAGAGCTGTCATAAGTACCAGTGTGAGCAGGTGGTAGGGTCTAGTCCTGCAAATAGCTCTCTGTTAACATTTGTTCCTTCTAAAAATCTGTGTATGTTCTACAGTTTTATTATTGTTTCAGTTTTACTTTTTATAGTATATACATTTACATAACTCAATAAAATGTTTTTAAAACCCTATGAGTTAATTTTATCTACAAAGTCCTTGACTGTTTTATTTACTTTAGTTTATTAAAACTGAAATAAATCAGCTTGAAAGCTAGTTTGCTTTCTTAATTCTTTATGCCATTGTACTTCAATTCGGAAAATGAATTTAACATGTTCGGATTTGTTCTCCATTTTCAATATTGTTTGTCACTTTATTTGACTTGGCTTTGACCAGACATATTGGACCTGCACAGACAAAGAACTTAAACGTAGGTCCAAAGCTACTAACCATATTTTTTTAATGAACTAAGCCTAGCCCAAACAAAACTTTGCTTTTGTCTGTCTCAATACAGCCCCTACCTGCCATTACCATGAAAAGCTTCCATAAGAAACCATCTTGAGTGGACCACAACCAAGACAATTACTAGCCTAATTTAATTACCCCGTAATTACATAAGCTTCTCTCTGTGTGAATGTAATCAATAACTACAGTACTATACCTACAACCTACTTAAAAAAAACAAAGCCACACACACTTTAACAAAGAATCTACTGCTTCATCAAAATCACAATATTCTAACAAGATCAGTGTAATTTCCCCCAAACTAAGGCGTTTTCCATGGGTGCAGCTTCACAGCAGCCAGCTTCAAAGGTTATTAGGGATTTCATTTTTTTTTAAGGAAATGCAGTTCTGGGACAGCCAACCATATGGTTTCATCTCATGGAGAGATCTGGGGATTTGAGCGACATTACATAAAAGAAAAATTTAAAAGATAGTGAGAGTTGCTGAGCAACATGGTATCTTTCCGGTTACAGGCACAGAATTTGCCTACTGAGGGATTCTGGTTTCGAGTTCTTTCAGTTTGAAGCTTAGTGTAGCTGTCTTTGCAGAGCTCAAAGAGGCAGGCAGTTGATTTGATCAGATCCAGATCCTGGAACTGCAGATATTTTTATGCCCAATATAAGCAAATTACAATTATCCTTGCATTTTCTTCTAATAATATATACAGATATACACATATATGCACACTTTTAAAGTATCTACAGCAGTTAGTAAAAGCTTTTCATTGAAGTCAATCAAAATTCCACAAGGTTTTTGTGGTGTTTTTTTGTTTGGTTGGTTGGGGTTTTTTTGTGTGTGTTTTGGGTTTTTTGTTTTGTTTTGGGTTTTGGTGTGTTTTTTTTTTTTAAAAAAAAATTGTCCAGACTACAACTCCTAGGCTTGGCATCATTTGGTATTTGAAGAAACTTAGAATACCTAACAACACATCATACTGCAATGGAGAGAAACTGAGGCATACATGTCATTTTTCCCTTATTTGTTGGGAGAAACATAACTTAAATATCCACAAAGGCTCTGTGTAGGAAGCAATGTGAAAGATTTGCCCATAGCTAAAACAAAAATGCCCCAAATAACAACAACAACAAAAAAAAAAATCCCTGAATTTGTCATAAGGCACTTACTTTGTACTTTCAGCAGCCAGTTTCTGTGCTTTTGCCCCTTATTAAAGGTTTCTGGAATCCTCAAACTAAGGAGATTCTTGCTGCCAAGTCTACTACCCACTTGGCTGAATCAGATATGAATCACAAATCGAGACAAAGATCGCAATGGGTGGGAGGTGAAAGAGCAAGTCAACAAGAAGAATGTTCCCCAAGCAAGCTCTGACAGGAGTATGTGAGCAAACACTCGCACAAACCTTTGTAACCAAGTTTGAGCACAACACTTGATTCGGCTCCCAAGACAGGGTGAGGCTCTTAGAGCAACTGACTTAGCCCCATTATTACCACATTTCAGCTTCTCTTGTGCCTGGGCAGTAAACAGGTTTCTGATGCACACAGACACTGGTCCACACAGCAGTGATTGCTCATCGCTAGACAAAAAGGTATTTAGGGCCAGCATCGAAATTTTGCTCTGTGATAACTTACATCAATGGATAGCCAAGTCCAGAGTCTGGAGGTTTGAGCATCAGCTTTAAAAAGACTGTGCCCTGACCTGATATGCAACAACATCACTCTTCAGACTGTCAGAGATGCTATGCCAACCAACATCAACTGACAGTTTGGCCAAATCACTGCAACTGGCCTTCTGCCAGGGCAGCTGTGTTACTTCAAATGCTGTCAGTTGTCACTCAAGGAATACAAACAGTATAACCATGTCCCTGGTCAAGGAAATCACTGAGCAATCTCCATGTGCCAAACGCCTTGGGAGCCCTGACCATCCTTGTATCTGCTTCAGTCCCCAAGGGAATTAACACTCGCTGTTCTGTCACACAGTTGATCTTCCTACAGGGTACGAGTGCCAGCTGGAGCTGTAAGACTGATGATCAACAGAAAGGGAGAACGGACGCTCCTAAAGAACAGCAGTTCGCATGCTACACAAGCAGCTTCCTGATCAGCACCTCCCATCAGACTGCCAGGCAAACTGCGACTACGCCTTCATCTCTCTCTCCCTCCCTCTCTTTCACCATCCAGCCTCCAAACCTTTGAGAAGAAAGGGTGCTCAGCCTGTACTTAGCCCTTGATGCTTCCGGTGCTGGACTCAGCCACGGGTGAGGGCCACAGCTGCTCAACAAGCGTTTGGCAGGTGTATCCTCTGACTGCAGGGTTTTCGTTTCCTGTTTTGTACCACACTCAAGATGGGCTGGGCTTAATCTCCAGAGTCATGAGAAACAGTTAGTGCAATAAGCAGAAACAACGCTGCAAGACAGAAGCCTCAGGTTCCTGTGTTTTCTCCTCTGTCATGCCTCACCATGCAGTGAGATGCATGTGTCATTTGGCCTTGCTACCCTTTAGGATTCTTGGTAAGCTTGCTAGATAGTCACTATGTCTGGATTAAAGGAAGCAAAGGAAAGAGAAACAGACGGTCAGTATCAAACTGAATTACCGGGAGCACAAAATCCCATGTCCCGCTCTGCAGTTGGATTCTACTTTTAATTCCAGCAGCAGTCTCTCTCCAAGTCAGAGGAAAATGAAGTGCAAAGAACTGAAAGCAATCTGCAAACAGCATCAAGAGCCACAGTCTCCTCACTGTTCTGCAGGAATCAACGTTGGCATTTTGTTTCTGATCATTATCAAGTGAAATATCTACAACCTTATGTCATTCCCAAGCCAAAAGCTAAAATAGTCAAGGAATTAGATGGCTTTAAAGCTGCATTGTCACAAGGGTTTCCTTCACATTTCTCACAGAGATGTTGTAAAAGCCAATAGTGTTGACCAAAAGACAGATTCTGTTTTAATAAGAATCAACATTTTCCGTTTTAAGGGATACCGAAATGTCTGCCTTTGATAGCAGGCATTAAACATGGCCATTATCTCTACCTTCACAGCTTGTGCTCCACTCTGAAAGATGCTGGTTCTCTAACAGGATGGAGCTCTGCCACCTGTCCCTACCAAATACAGTAAAACTGAACCAAAGCAGCTCTGACCCTACCAGGGTTCTGCCAGAACATCAGTCTTGCTGGAAGCTGAAATGTTATTACCCAAGAAGTAACTGGAAAGCTCCTCACTATAGGAAAGTTGACTCACTTTCAGAGCCCAGATGTTTGAGATTTACCCAGGCTGTCCCTCACCCAGAACAATTTTGTGGTAAAACAAACATCACTTTAGCAGATCGTGTGGCAGAAGGAAATAAATCTTTCTTAACCTCCAAAACAACTGCATTTTAAGTCTTCAGAAACTTCCTATGCCACAGTTTGGCAATTTGAGAATTCTCTGCCCTTCCTCCATTTATCCTCCGCTTGTCATGTGTCACTGATTGACATCACCAGTCATGAGAAAGGGACATTTAGAAAGACAACACTTTAGATGAAAAAAATGAGCCTAACATCCTATCAGCTAGGACACAGACTTACCAGTTCCAAACAGGATGAATATTTGGGCATACTTAAAACCCAAACATATCCACACTTCTCTACACATAACCAATGAATAGGTTCAGCCTAAAACATAAGCACAATTTGTTAAGGTACAAACATGTCATTTGTGAACTGTGTATGACCTCAAATCCAAAATGTACTACGACAAGTGCCAATCCATTTAAATCAGGTGTAGCTTCTGCATAACATCAAGACCGTGGTCCAGCAACAAGCCAGGAAATAACTTCAAGAAGCTAATCTCCCCTGAGTGAAGTCCAGGCACTTGGGAAGGAAGCTGAGCATGCGCTTCATCTTATTTGCTAAGGTGGTGCAGCCTGTTACCTGGGCACACCGCTCTATCCTGCCTGCCCCACAGTTTGGGGCTAGGCTCATCATCAGTTTAATATCCCAGTGACTCAGTGGCCACAGGAGACTCCCCCACCTGAACAAATAAAGAGAAATTAAGGAAATTTTAATGCTTATCCTTCATTACACTTACCCATTCGCCACAAACCACAACCATCGGACAAAAGTTGCAAAATTGTCTTCTACTAACTGGTCCAAGACTCCTCTCTTCCTTTCTCTAGCAGCTTGGGTTAGTGCACACATGTTGAAAGCCTACCATGCTTTCAATGCATCCTCATGTAAGGGCCCCAGAAGCCATATCCCATATAACTTCAAGATTCTGCCTGAAAGGAATGTAACACTGTAACAGTGGAAGACTATTGTGCTTTAATTCATTTTTTGCTGTAGGAAAGGATAGGAAGCACAAGGGTAGGGTTAAGGCTGCTGTGAGAACCTACTGGTTACCTGTGATGATCGTGCTCTATTTTGGTCACTATTCCATAAAAGTTTTGACAAACTGGAGGTGAGTTCAGGGATGAATAACAAACATGGTATCGCTGAGCCTGAAAGAATTGCGTTTGTTTATCCCAAGAGGACCAAGCACAGCAACTGTCTTCTAATACACAAGTTTTCATAACTACAAGAGCAGTCAATTGCTCTGCCTGTCCACTGGGAAGGAGAAGAACAAATGGCTTTAATTTGCAACAAAACGAAAACATTCAGGTGAGATATCAGAAAAGGGCTTTCCAGGGGTATCAGTGAGTTTTCAAACAGGCTTGACAAATGCCTGTAAAATCACAATGTAGCTCAGTCACAGAGGACCAAGATAGAAGTGGGCTGATCCCAGTATCAATGAGCTGCAATACTTTTGAAGGCGTTCTAGTCACAAGCACCAAGATGGTTCAGCATCAATGCTGTAAAGATACTTACGTCCTGCAGGACAGCAAAGAAAGTTACATCATCCCTTTCTGTGCTTTATTTACATTTCCTAAGAAGTATTAAAACATCAATTAAAAAAAATTACGTCCCTCACATCAACGCTTGCTTGCAAATCAGGATTTCTGAAATTATTGTACGCATGCACGTATATATGAAGAGGTTACTGACAGGTATTTATTTTTAAAATGTAGTTATGCAATTTTTCTCCTACCATGATAATTCAGCTTCTAACATCCTAAACCACTGGACACTCATTTGCAAAAGACCTGAAGAAACTCCACTGCTTCGGTATGGGATCTAGGTCCAGACATGTGCCCTTTCTCTGCACCAGTTCCCACAACTGCAGGCTGCAATAGCTCCACTTCAGACCACTGCTGAACAATTTAAGTAATTAATGCTTGTAAACTAAATTAAAGGCACTCAAATAAGCAACACTACAGTGTTAAGTGAAAAGGATTATTAGAGTCTAAGAATAGGTCATGTGAAAAACAGATCAGACATACACTGGTAACAGTTTGCCATCTGCTCTTCTCATCTATCACAAGAGTCCAGTACTCCGTCTCTCCTCTCCTTCATCTCCTCCAAACTCACACCTCCATTTTCCTCTAAAGCAGCATAAGCAGTTACTGCTTCACCTAACACGTACGCCACTGTTCAAATACGGCCCACCTTGTGCAATGGAATGCAAGTGTCAACATGCGATAGGCACTATTATTTAGTGGGGTGTGGTATTTACCTAGGGGAAAGCTACATCTTTCAGCAACCACTTTAATAACTCTGAGCTTTAACATAGTAACTGTCAGATTATTCCAAACCACCCTGCTAGAAGGATTTAAAACAAACACCAAAAAAAACAACAAAACAAAAAAACCCCACTCCTGTATGGGTTAGCATCAGAACAGCACATGTGAGGCCAGTGTTCCAGACAGGATGCAAGCCCGTAAGTGGAAGGTGGCAATGATGGAGAAACCTGGAATTAAATGGAAATGTGGAGCCTTCTTCACCTTCCCCCATAGGGGTGAGAGGGCCCTCTGGGTTACAAAGTAGTTGTTTGGTTTTGGAGCAAACCTAAGATTACAGAAACTCTTCCTGCCCCAAGTCAGCCCTAGGAACTATGTAAGGAATCCAGAGAAAAGATGACTTCTCCCTTGAGCAAGACTACATGATCAAAAGAGGATTTCTGTTAACAACACAAGAAAGGCGAGTTGAATTCCTCCTCCATATCAGAAGCAGATAGTCCCAGCAGACAAGGGATTATTTAAGATTTTAATTTCCATAATGTAGCCTTAAGAGACAGAGTCAAATTCAGACCTTACATAAGCAGGAGTGACTCAACAAAAGACTGAAACTGAAACAAGGCATCTGCCTTCCTGAAGAGTTGTGGGCGCTTGAACAATAGTGAGTGCGCTGTACAGAGCATGTTTCCTCTGCCCTAAAGGTAAACAAATGTGTTTACAATCAAGATCCCAGAGATCCCACCTTTTTGGAAGTGCAAACATCATTGCCAATTATGAAGACATGAATCCACCTAATAATAAAATAAACAGGGTGTCATTTATACATAGACCATTTATCTACCAAAACTTTTCTCTCATAGTAAGAGAGACCAAAAATACCCATAAAACTTAAAAGAATTTCATACTGTTGGCTCTTAGCAACAGGACTGCAAGCCACACTCCCGTATCTTGCACAACCACCTACACCAGCCTCCTGAAATATGGAACAAGCAGCAGCTTCTATGCCAGACTGGACACAGTTAGCCAAACCCAAGAGTGACCAACATCAATACACCAGGGCTCAGCAGACAGAAGAAAGACAGACATCTGAAGTGCGATTTGCTGGTGGTTTATGGCTTACACTGCACACAGGGGAACAAACCATGCAGAGAAGTTACTTCACAAGCCAAGACTTGATTGCGCTGCTCTCCCCATCTGCTCTGTTTCTTGAGGTATGCAATGTAAAAAGAAAATTGGCGACTTGGCTACATTTGTCCTATAGCCATCCCCTGTCCCGGACAGGATGACTGCTTATACAGTCAGAGGACTGACAAGGCAGACTGGGATCAAGACACATAACTATGGCAATTGGAGAAGATTTATTTCTAGAGATAGCACAGAAAATCCCAATGGATAAATAGGATGGAAAAAAGGGATCTTTAGTTTTCTGTCACTCCAGTTTTAATATTGGAATGGGAAACCAGGCTCAGGACATCAGCCAGCCTTACTGCTGGAAAAAGACCTGGAGACTGCTGGCACAGTGATTAACAAGCACAGGGCTATTTGATAGCACAGCACCTCCTCCCTCCCTGGTCCGATTGCTGAAGGCAGTTGGTCACCTATTCTCTTTGGTCTTGCTACATACTTTGGGAAAACAAGTCATGAAATTGTTACAGGGGCCCAATTAGTGCCCAGATCCAAGCAGATCATTAGGCCAGAGAGAACTCCAGAGACTCACTTCTTCCTAACATATTTAAAATATGGCTTCATTATTTTTTTTCTACTGAATGACTTTGGTAGCCATGATGGCATCATAAGCAAGTGACAGGCAAAAGCAACTGGAAGTCAGGAATCTCCACTTTAAAATGCTCTGGTAGGATTTTCAACAGAATGGCAGGATCTGTCCTGAAATGAGCACCTTGGAATTTAAGTGCTTACTCCTTCTGGGTTAGCACAAAGGCAGCAAAAAAGTTCCTTATCTAAATTCCACAGAGCAAGACAATACAAACTGTATCCAATTATCAACCCCAAATTCTGACAGTCAGCACTTTGCACTATGAAGAGTGAAAGCTAGAGCGTAGGAAGGTTTCCTAGTTTCTACAGATTACATTCTCCTCTGAACAAAGCTGACCCTTTGTGGAACCGGCGCCGCTGTTCCTACAGAACGTGCATGGGTGGGAATGGCTGAGGAGGAAGCCCACAGCAAGCAGAGCTTATCGTGATTAGAACACTCAGGTCAAACGCACTTAGCCAACAACCCACTCAAACCCTGCAAAAGATAACAAACAGCCAATCTACACACAAGAAGACTGTTCACACAGATTTTTACCCTTTCTACCACTGCATGACATAAGCATACAGCAACAGAGAAAAATGCAGAGGCCACCTTAAAAGGTCTCGCTCTAGCTCTGCCTCTTTCAGAAGATCAGGGTCTCAAAACTCAGATTTCCTGTACAGCCACTAAAGCATCAATGCACAAGAAGTCTTTTTCTTTCTGTGCATCTCATTCTCCTGCGAATTACACTAAGTTACTCACCTCAAAGAGGGCCAAAAACTGGTTGTTTCAGACTAAACAACTCCAACAAAATTTTGGCTGTTTCCAAGGCTACAAAAAACACATATTGATCCCATTACAAAGTTTCTGATGAATCCTCTAGAAAGCTTTTTAACCTTGAATTTTGAGGAAGGAGTCTGAAATTTGGCAAGAGGAGAGTTTTCAAGACCACAGGAAGAGCAGAAGCCAACCTGGCCAAACCCAGCAAACTGTAAGAACCTCAAGTTCATTTGCAGCAGACACTCGTTAGTCTTTAGAAGTCACCTTCTGTGGAGATTGCTGGGCACAGCACACACAAAGTATTTATGGAGCTCAGCTGTGAAGGCTATGCTCAGCCATCCCACTCTTCAGATGCAGGTGAGCTTGAGGTGAGGCAGCTGTGACCTAGGCTTGCCAGATACAAGAGGGCCATCTCTCCCTGGGCCTGAAGAGCCTCTCCAAGCGCAGCACTCCTCTGAGTGCCCCCTTTAGCAGGGACACGTTAAAGGGGCCAGCCAGCTCTGGCTCACTCTGCAGCACGTCCTTTGGAAGTGAAGGGAGGATGAAACACCGGTGTCACAGGTCAGCACCTTCCACTGCTGGAACCTGTTCAGATGCAGAGTTATGATTGCACTGGAACTTTAAGGTCTTAAATGCAAAACTGAGTACTCAAAAGTTAAAAATTTTCAGAATTGAAGTTTTCAGTGCAAACTTAAGTTATCCTCTTTATGGCAATGCTTACTCTTCTTCTGCGGAGCTTATGATACAGTCTTTAATTATATAATAACATATTGTAGTTCCTATTCATTCAGTGTAAACAAACAATTCCCAACTATAAAAAGCAGCTTTTTTTATTCTGTCCTCATTGGCTTTACCATTTTTACTTCACTTACTGGAAATCTACTGTAAACATAGTTACTGAGTTGTATGTGGTAGTTTTAAGACAGCCATCACTGCAGTAGTAGAGTGCTTTCCAAATTTTAATGAATTTGTTTCCACAACCTCTGTTACACAAACTGTTTTATTCATATCTTATAAGGAAAATACTGAGGGAAAGATAGGTTAATATGAGAAGT